AAACTCTCAGTGCCCTTGGTACAGAAGAAGAAATACTCGAACATGACGGAGTATACTCAACCGGATCAATGGCTACAAGAGTGATAGAAGCTAACAGTGGAGAACCAATGGAAGTCTATAGAGAAAATGATCCTGGAAGGCATTTTGAAATATGATGACCAAAATGTAAAGACATCAAGCAAGAGGTCATCTCTGCTAATTCGTGGCACAATGATTCTGCTCAGTAGATCAACTGCCGTCACCAGCAAGTATAGCTGGGTTATTATGTTGCATTTAGGCTGTTGATTGACAGATCCCGACAGTAGTTCGTTTTTAGAACTAAGAGGCAGAATCGTAACCAGGGTTCAGAGCGACAAAATATTTTTTAGATAGGATTATTCAACAGAAGACTAGTCAACGCTCACTAAATACTTATACTCATTGCTGGCTCGTAAAATGGCCTGCATGTATGTCGTTCTCCCGAATGAATGCGCAGTAAATGGCAAGTAAACAGGTAAAGTCAAACTTTGTCTAACTGCGGCTTACTCAATCACATCACTAAGGCATTGGGCAGTGAAACAAATACACGCGGCATTCTAAGGTTTTTGGCGGGAGACCGGGAAGTTCGCACGGAATCATGTCAAGTCATCTCGTTTGGGATCTAATTAAACACAACCACTGTTTCCTAATGAAACGTGGCCGCGAAAGTTTTAGTCGTGATCCACTTAACTTAAAGGGAAAAAACTGCTTCAGGTATTGTGGTCTTGTTCACAAGAAGGCTATTGGGATCAAGGAGGAGAAATACGGAAAGGGTGTCGTAGTCATCACAAAGAATGTTGCAAAGGATCATAAACCAGCCAAAGCAGTTACACGAACAAAGTTTGTGCGCGGACGTAGGCCTACTTTGAAAAAAATCAGGAACTTGACATGCAAGCAAAAATACAGAAGAGAACTAAAAATGGTAAGCGTATTTATAATCTAAGTTCTGTTTCTTTCAGCTGGCGCTACGTAGAGCTAGTGCACTGATGCTTAACATGAAGCCTGTCGCACAATCAGCCCCGAAAACCAAGAAGACATAGTTTTTATTGTCTTGGCAGAATAAAATTTGTAAACACTTCGTTGTATTATGGCTAAGCTGAAAACTGGTGATTACTTAGTTAATACCTGAAGTTCTGTCACATTGTCGCTCAAAAGAGCAGTACCCATCTGATTGGTAGTAACAAAATACTAAATATAATAGCTTAGACTCTTTATTGTGGCATACCACGTTTGTGGTCTACTAACGAATTCTAGGGAGTGCTAGTACATAAAATTAATCGCGTTCATACGAGCTAATACTTCATTAGTCTTGGAGTTTGGCTCTCTGAATTGTTTCAAATCACTGTCAAGTCCAGCCGTACATTGCTATTTTGGGTACAAATCCTGTGTTAACTATATGAATATTCGTCAAGATTAGAACAAATAGTCTGACAGAAATCGGGCGCCGGGTAAAGAGAAGTAATAATAGGTGAGAATTATATTTGAAATGATCTCAGCGACTGAAATTTACATAATTCCAACGTTTCGTCCAGCTATATGAAGAAGTCCAGACAAGATAGCTGGACGAAACGTTAGAATTATTTAAATTTCAGTCGCTGAGATCATTTCAAATATAGTTTTCACATATATAGAGGGGTTAGATTCACTTAAAATACTAGCCTTAATAGTTATCGAATGCCAAACAAAGACTCGTGAATTGCAAGCACGTGAAAATCAAGCTGGCTACAGACCTGTTCGTGGCTGCATCGACCACGTTCACCGTTCGTCACGTTCTAGAATACAGACATACTTTAAAAGTGATTAGTCACTTTTATAAATTTCGATAATGTAATAAAAAGACGGGTATCATCAGAACTATGTGATATATTAGCGCAATACATTTCGAACAATCTGATAACACATATACTTGTTAAGAGCATTTATATATGCTCTTATAAATTTACAAATGCTCTAAACAAGTATATGTGTGGTCAGATTGTTCGAAATGTACTTCGCTAATATATCACAGGCATACTTATCGGCGTCCGACGATGGTGGTCTTTGTTGACTTAAAAGCAGCACTTGACTCCGTAAACCGCGAGATTTTGTGATTGTCTGTCACTGAATGGTGCACCTCAGAAGTACATAAACATTGTGAAGGCTCTTTACTCGAACACTAATAGTCGAGTGGGAGCTTATGGCGAACTGTCATCTCCTTTTGAATGTCAAATGGTGTCCGGCAATGCTGCTCACTTTCTCTATTTTTGTTTGTTTTCGTCATAGATCTACTGATGGAAATAACGTTTTCGTCAACCGAATTTTCGGGCATTAATCTCCTACCGTGAGGTCCACTTATCGACTTAGAATGCGCAGATGATATAGTCCTGTTTAGTGAAGACGCTGATAAATTGCAAAGTGTTTTGTAGCACTGAGCAACAATGCCAGAATGTTTGTGATGCACTTCTCTCCCTGTGAATGCAAGTTATTGGTTCAGGGCTGGTCTGTGTCAACATCGGAACTAAGGATAGGATAAGGAGTGAAGTAGTCGGACGCGTTGACAACTTCACTTATCTCGGAAGTCTGATCAACCTTAATGGGTTGGATTCGAAAAGCTGGTTTGGCTTCCGCCAACTTACGTCACCTATGGCGAAGGCGAGATATCCGTCTGTGAATTAAAGGACAATTATACTGCTCGGCAGTTCGTTCTGTTTCACTTGACGGCTGAGAAACATGGCCCTTAAGAATAGAAGACGCTCGTAAGCCAGTAGTATTTCATCACAGCTGTCCAAGAATATTGCTAACACCTGACGGGATCACTGGGTAAGTAATCGTGAGATTAGAGGCAGGTTATTAGAAAAGGTTGGTGAATCAGTCAATGAGGTAAATCTTCATCGACTGAGGTGGTTGAGCCACGTGTTACGTATGCCTGAACACCGATTACCACGACGCACAATGCTGACTAGTGTTGGAGACGGCTGGAATAAACTTTGGGGCAGCCAAACGAAAACGTGGCATCAGTCCTGGAGTCACTACTAGTTTGGGTCATGTTGGTAGATGCAGACTACTTGGTCGAGGTCCGCGTGACTATCGTAACCAATGGTAGGAGACCCTGGGTGACATGTCCCATAATCGGTCACAATGGCGTAGGTGTATACACTCGTTTTCCCTTAATTTGTGAGATTAAAATTACTTGATACCTTTCTTTTTATGAACCAGTTCTTGCTCACTGTATCATATCCTTATATGAAATCCGTTTTTACTACCATTAAAGTTACTGCTTCTATGAATTTGGTGTTCATTTTGTTGTGCTAATGAAGTGTGACAACGCGGACCGATACACATGTGCCTGGTCGAACATTGCAGCTGACTGACCGTATTGTTATTTATTTAATTTTATCTAACCTCTATATGTCATTAGCCTGCCAAAACCACAGCTGCTTTTTATTATCTCATGGTACTGTAATAATTGCGTACACAAGTGGTTTTGTTGTAGTGAGGACACAGCACAAACATTTGCTCTTAATATGAGTGAAACTAAATGCGAAAAATGAGATTAGCCGGACGATTGAAGTATTTTGGTATATGTTGCCTACGCAACTTTCAATTACGTGCCTGAGTTGACACCTTAGAAGTTGGACTTCTCACTAGTATCGTGAAGAAGGACAAAACAATCGACCAGGGTCCATTAGTGATTTTGGACAAGTGCAATGCAGCTTAGTAGCTTACCAATATCTTCTTTTGGAGGCACTTGCTAGAATTTACAAGAAGCATATGCAGCAACTTCTCGGTTCCATTACATTTAGTTTCGCCACATCGTTTGCTTACAACGTGTCTGGTTTTCGAGATATACATTGGTTATGTATATAATGCTGCATGAACCTGGCAATGCCAGTGTTATCGCTCAGATTTTAGCAGTGGCTTACCTAGTACAAATTGCGAATAGGTTTTGACTGCGATCTCGTTCGTTTTCTTATTTGGAGTTTATAATAAGCATCAAATCTACGGAGACTGCCGGTGTTGTTTAGCATAATATTTACCGGACGACGGAGGTCGTACCCACCCAGTACCAATCAATTTAGCTGGGACAGCAAACTGGCATAGCGTGCAACCATTTTCGCGAAACTATGAGGAAGGTATCGGCCATTTTGCTTATCGGCACATATAACCCTCTTCGTACAAGACATAAGTTGTCGAGAAGCACTATCCTCTTTTTTATTTGTTACTGAGGTCTCCTTTCAACTAGCATCTGAATAATTATGGATATTGGACGAACAACTGTGATGGAATACTCCATATCAAGCCAGACGAGTATTCGTGACATCGAGGAGTTAGAGCTCCGTTTCATCTCGTGACAACTCGCAACCTACTGTCGTATCAATCATAACTTGAACTAATACGATACACGGTAAATTACCTAAGCTAGCGAGATCCATATAACTCTGGACTATCCACTTAGAAACAAACATAAACGAATATAATGGGAAGTACTTTTAGCCCAGGATGAAGATTTCGAGGGTGTAGTGCTCTCTCGATTGGATGGTTTGGTCGTGAGAAATTCATCATCCACCTAGACAACGTTAGCAAATACTTCGAAAAAAATCACATAGTCAAATGAACACAAAATGCATCGACACGTCGACTGTTAACAATGAGGTTGACGCTAACGTGCCTAGTTACACTATGATCGACAATATATTATATCCAAGTAGTTGGAGAAGTAGTTTTCATAGAATGTGAAGTAGTTCTTTCTGGAAATTAATCTTTCTTCCTTTTCCATATCTTTACTACTTTTCCAAAAATAAAGGCGTAGCATAACTTTATGAAATGTATATTAAATATGTGAATGATTCTAGTTATTAGGAAAATAGGTGTGCAACTGCATGAGAGTTAAAAGTTCCGACAATAAAACCATCCAAGTGTTATGTATGCTTATACAAATTAAAAATGACAGTCTATCAAAAATAACAAATACTAGCGTTCATAATAGAAACCATGAATAAATCTTAACAGTTCAATTTATCAATTAGGTTGAAAAGTTTGCTAAGATCTTTTTGGGCACAATCTTGTTGTTCACGTCCAGAATTGGTTCTTATGAGCAATTTTGGAAGCCAATCATTCATGGCTTTATCAAAACGTTCAGATGGATCAATATTTTGTAGAAGTCGACTAATCCAATATAAAAGACGTCTACTGGCAAATAACTTCCAAAGTGGGTAAAGCCTTATGAAAGGATTCCTAATAGGTGAAGTATCAAATTTAGTATTATTTGAGATATAAAACGGACAAAGCACCTCAAGCATTGCGACTAGATGCTTTAATATAGAAGCCATACTTTGCAATTCATTAAGTTGGTGAACTTTCTCGATAGAAAATCGAAGGACGAAAAGCGAATGACTGGCGCTTTAACCAGACCCCAAACTAATGGTGCACATGGGCTGGCTCCAGTATCCTGAACGAACAAATGGCATATGAACCAATCGTTGGTCACCGGCTAACATGGGACTGCATCTCCTTACGATACTCCACTGCCTTGTGGGTCAGACGTTTAGGTTGAGGGCTCGGGGTGTATCCTCCTAAGAAAACCACCTGCTTCGGTTTGGGCACCCGGAGAGTATTACAGCCCTCACACATATCAGTTGAGTTTTGTGTGGCACATATATATTCGGGGCCTCCTTGTACCGATATCTATGTGTTAAAATAAATAAATCCTTCAAGGTGATTATTAGTAAACAGTCAAACTCCAGTCTCCTCAAGTTTGCTAAAGCCCTTGCTATCAGGCGTTTAACTCCTTCTTGCATTCATTACATCATTCAGTTCTATTCCAACTATCGTCCAAACTAGTAGTCTTATTCTTACCAACTGAGCTCTACTCACTTTTTTCCTATCAGCATTTACTCATTATGTAATCACTTGTTTCTGGCTCTTCCAACTGTTGTCACAATCAATGTTTTGTAGAATGTTCTTTCACATAACTTGTACATTTACAATATTCAGTCTATCCAATTTGTTTACACCCTTGCCATACTATACCACTAATGTGTCTTCACAATATAACTTCCATCCACACCATCTCATGTAACTAATTTAAGTCCATTATGTAATCATGATTTCTAGATAGCACTGCTTGCAAACAGCTGACGAGAACCAGACCAAATAAAAACAATCAAGGTCATTTTCTCCTAGAATCTTTCAGTTCTTCCTCTTTTCAAAATGATAAAGGGAACTATGTGTATGAAATCTATTACCCATCCATCGTATACAATTATAAACTCTAAGATGCACCGATCGCTTCAATCAATTAGAATATGATCTACAATAGTGATAAAATGTATACCACACAAATGTCTTAAGATTTAAGTGAACTGGAAAATATGTAGGCAGTTAGTTAGGAAAACAAATTACTATGATAATGTAAGCATACCATACCTCTTTCGGATGACATCCACCGAAAACAAAAATCGGGTCCACACGACACAAACTAAACTCTTTTAAGTATAACTGGACATAACTCTTAAATGTCAAATACTCCCCACCAAATTCACATCGCAAAGCTGCTTGACGATAACAGACAGCAGCAAAGTTCTCGGCATCAATAACTAAAGGCTCGTTATGCAATTCATATTTGGATAGGTTTTCACCGTTACTTTCAATATACGTGCTCAAACCTCAGATACCCATCTGTTCTAAAACATAAAACAAGATGATACAAGTATTGGAATCTTCAAAAGCAATAACGAAAACGTAAGAATAGAGGGAGACATTCGCATCTAGATATGATGTAGAGAACCTGATACCCATAATACAAATCATCAGTAAATAACTAGGTCAATAGAAATTTCATAAAAAGTGACAAACCAACCCCACGTATTGGCTAATCTTTTATTTTGCCTAAACTACTTTATCTTCCTTAGATAACTCCAACCACTATTCTATCCATGGGATCGGTTACTTTTACTAGACTAGATATGAAATAATTTGTCACTAAAATCAATTGCAGCTCACTTACTGAATAAACCAAATCCAATCAATACTCAAGGAACAACCACAATCAAACTGTATCGATAGAAAGATGAATTTCACTCTACAGATAATGAATGATCTATCTATCTATCTATCTATCGCCCTTTCTCCCTCTATACTTCCTAACCTAACTACCCACACCTATCTGGAGACATTATAAACAATTAAGCAGAGTTCAAATAAAAAAATATTGAATCATCACAATAACAATATATTTAAAAACATATACATATAGAGATGTTATGATTCATCACGTCAAACTGCATCAACAACATCTGTACTACAGCGTTGAGAGACCACAGAACTTTCCAGACATAAAGTTAAACCGGCATCAAACATTAAGCATCCAGTATGTGCCATCGTAGCATCATTATCAATGCACAAAACGCCAACCAATTGCGAATCATTTCGCATAACACTCTTCTGTCATCAACTTCATCATCTCCTGTAGACGCACATTACAACCAACACCACTGACAGTGAAAACCTCCTGAGGAATTTTCAAAAGGTAGAATACTCATTACAGTATGATAACAAGTCGTGAATTCAACTGTTAAAATAATCAACATCATAATGGTCAATTAATTTACACACAGACTGGATTATTCTTCTCTCGCCACCCTATCACATCAAAAATCATTACCCTTGAAAACCACTGCAATCAGAAAACCGGTCACGTAAACATTTAGCGTGACACACGATCACATATTAGATTGTTTTGAAACACAATTCTCGGCACTACAAATAGTAAATAGTTGTGAGGTTTAAGTGACCCTACATCTGACTCGAGTTAGATCAGACGAATGCTCGCTACCGAATGATTGTTGTCGAAATATACATCCTAGCCATTTTCACATGATAATTATCGACTTGATTAATCCACTTCAGTAAATAACGGGATTAAATACGTCAACTGCGAGAATGAATGTTTGAGTATGAATACTTTGTGAAATCACTGATCGCAAAGTCAAGCAAAAGAAAACCATGCACAATGGGCAAGGCGACTGAGCCAACTAGATTTACCGAGTGTCAATCGATATTTATAGTCACACAAAACTAAATCACAGATATGTCAAGGGTACGGTACGACAACAAACATAAGGCACATACATACACACGCTTACATAAAAACAGTCAAGGTTGATAACACAATACCTAACAAGATCAACATGTAACTCAACAAGATGAATAAAGAAATCGGCTTATCCCGAAACTAGAATAAGCTTCATGGGCTCCACATAGCAACTGACACTACGACGTGTCTATTTATACTACGATGTTCCCATCTTATTTCCTTAATGTTACATCGTTTCAGTTAACAATTAATGCATACTACATGATTTATCATGTTTATGTAAGCTAAAACATTTGGGATCTGAGCAACTTATTCAGTAAGTTGAGTAAATGGGAAAAAGATGAAAGACACAAACCATGGCAAACAGGTTTTGGAGTAAAATCTTAGGAAACATAATTTGTAAAACACGTTCATGTTCTTACATGCCATCCACTAACTAGTCAGTGATCATCTCTTTATCTCTCTCTCTCTCTCTCTGATACAAACAAATATACACGGTACCGGACATGACTATTATTTAACTTATACTATTGTCTAAAGTTAGCAACATATCGAAAAACTACGATCACATAGAGACCGACAAATATCTCACAAAGGGCAAATCTCACAAGTATGGAGCACAGCTGGTTTCACCACAGTATTTCACTTCTTAGCTTTTATAGAAACACCAAATCTGTGACACAGATCAGGAGAATCACCATCAACTATTCCTCTGGTCATCTAGTTAGTTTCACATCTACACTATCACCTGTTCAACTAAAAACAGATAGAAATAAGTCTTCTCACCCGAGTATCTTGTGGTGTCTTACCAGTGATAGACAGTGCTTTCTCTCACATCGTTACGTAGATTGAAGTCACATTTACAGAGTTTTCTAGAGTATGGTGGTCAGTTGAATCGTTGCTCAGAAATCTCCATTTGGCGCTCTATGTATCTTTAAAGATGGTCATCAGCAAGCGCTGAATTGAATGAGCTGAGACCAACTATTATTTATCTAAAGATCACAAGAAATCTCGTGTTTACTATTACATTTCTCTTTCTCCATGTAACAAAGTGAAAAAAAAAACAGAACTAAAACACTTGCCATGTACAGTTTAAATCCAACGGTAGCCAACACTGTATTGAAATAACTGAGAAAATGTAAAGTACATTGTGAGTATTCTCATATGTAAACTAAATCACTTTAGTTGCATATTCATGCTTTTTAGTATTGAACTTCTTCATATGGGGTATTTGTTTGAATCATTGTCTAGTCTACTTAGTTAAATACAGTTAACATACGGTAGTCCATATGTCCATTACATGGAATCACATCACATATCATCACCAGTAGATTACACCTTGTAGTAAACACAGTTAGTTCAACACAATTCCATACGACGTATAATCGACAACGATACAAGAGAGAAGAAGTTAGGAGGCAACAAAACAATTCCATTTCACAATAATATATATTTACCAATTCAATTGCATTACTTCGGCGAATACTTTTTTCGTACGCTACACCATACTACTACTTTTTAATATCCAGTAGCTTAAGTTATTAACAAATATATAACTGATGATGATTTATTGTCTATTTACACAGTTGAGTTCACTTCTCGTACAGAACCCTCACACAGGCCTATGCTAAACCATGATGTATATCAACCACTCAGTTGAACGAACCGATTCCCATCCAACTACGATTTTCCTAATTCAATTCAAGTCAATTCAATTCAAATAAAGACATCTCATGATTAAGGGCTAGCAAACATCAGTGGTTATACACTCTTCTAATAGTACCACATTTCCATAGAAAGTCTTACTTTCTACTTTCAGATCTCATATAACGACTTCATCCTCGCACGGATTATACACAAAAGTAAAACTACGTTAATCCAATACACATAAACAAATCATCGTCTACTTGTTTCGCTCAATATAAGCGAAATCCAATCTAACAGAATTTTCATGATAAATTTCAAAACAATGGCGAACTGCGTGACATAACAAGTACTGACAACATTATTTCGAATTATAAGCAGACATGAATGGTGGCTAGCAGTGGAACACAACAAGCCAGTTTAGTTCTATTTTGATTTCGTTAACTGGATGTGCTTGAATGCGAGTTCATGTTCACTCTCAGACTCCAACCGACACCATCCACTGCAAAGATCATCGCATTTGGGATCAGTAGCTAATTAGAAAACTCAGTGATGCTTGAA